TTCGTAGACACGAGATTTGTCCAGTTTATGCCTTTTAAGAGTCCTCTCTTGGTGGTCATTTTCAACTCTGCGTGAATTGGTCGTAGTTTGTTTTGATTTTGAACGCCCATATATATCTCCTTAATCTGCTGTACTTCTCGTGTGACTGTATTAGCTTCTTTTCCTGTTGAGAAAATTGATTTAATAGGTTTCGGATTTTCAGCGTGTGAAGCCATTGATGTGATTGGTTTGTTGTTGTGATGCTAGTTATTCTCTTTAGTTCATGAGCTCATTTCATCTCGTCTTCATACAAATTAAGCTGAGCTCAAACGCATTAGTGATAATTTTCATATGATTACTATCTTAGACTATAAACGTTTGTTATCACTTTACCTGAGGGGTTTCTGGAGTGGATGAAGTCCAGTACATGCCTTACCATTCGTGCCTCTTTTATTGATTTTATTTATTTAATATTTTTTATGGGAATTATTTCGTGTTTATTTATTACTAGGGGTAAAAAATAAGCTACACTGTTTATAGATGGGAAAACACCAAAATTTCAAGAAACTTATTTTTTTTTAATCCAAATGAATCGAGTGGCTCGCGAGCGCTTGAGCAATTCGAATTCAAACTCGAGGTAGCGCACAAACCTAAGCACTCGACGAGACGCTACCTCTAACCAATTTTTTTTTTATTATAATTTTGTTAGCCAAACTCGATCACTTTTTAGTCAATCTCGAGCGATTGTATATTTTTATGGAGCCGATCCTTGAGCTTAAGCAAGTGTCAAAGGAATCATGTATCACTTATTAAAGACAATGTTGGAGTCCACTCGACGATTTTGGTATGCAACTATCAGATCATGACACGACTTATGTAACTATCCACAATTATGGAAAAATGATGTATTGACAAGTGTCATATAATGCATACAAACAGTTACAGTGTTTATATATGGAAAAACACCAAAATTTCAAGAAAATATTTTTTTTTATCCTTATCAACTAGGATTGCAAATGCAGTTCGCGAGCCCTCGAGCTCTTCGAATTCAGACTCGAGCACTTGGCGAGCTGCTTCTTCTAACTACATATTTTTAATAGAAAATTTTCAGTCGAACTCAATCATATTTGAGTCGATTTCGAGTGTTTGTACTTTTTATTGAGTCAAACTGCAATATGTAGATTCCTTCGATATGTTTACAATCCTACTAATAAGGTTGTGTTGGGTAAAACTAGCTGATAAGCTAGCTGATAGCTTATCAGTAATTTTTTAGCTTATAGCTTATAGTTTATGACTTATAGCTGATAAGCTAGCTTATATGATAAAAATGTTTAGTAAAATCAGCTGATAAGATAGTTGGAATAAAAAATTCAACTAGCTTATTTGAAAAACTACCTATAGGAGCTTATCAAATAAGCTCGAGCTTTTTAAAAAAGCCCGTTCTACCAAACGAGGCTTATTTGAATACAAGGAGTTTATAAGCTAATCAAATAAGCTATAAGCTAGCTTATTGGTCTACCAAACATAGCCCAAGATATTAATAATAATAAGGGGAGATGCTACAATCCAGTTAACCAATCATTTATTTACAATATTATGTACCACAAATCCAATCTACAAATAAGACATTAATAATAATAAGGGGAGATGCTACAGTCGAGAGAACCATTCCGTCTGGATTTGTAACCGTCAGATCATTATGTATTTGTCGGAATAATTGATCAACGGTTACAAACCCTGACGGAATGGTTTAGTAGCATTAGACCATCTTTATCAATGCCACTGGGGGCGGTGGCGTGGGAAGAAGACAAAAAAAAAAAAAAAAAA